TATGTATGTATGTATGTATGTATGTATGTATGTATGTATGTATGTATATATATATATATATATATATATATATTTAATTATTAAGGGTCTTTTTAAGTTTTATGATTATTATTGTGTGGGTGTTTATGAAGAAAGGCGCTATGACTTGATATTGGTGTAACTTTAGCTTTTTGAAATATTTAGCCTTTTCTGCCTTTTGTTTGGCTCTCATATAAAATGAATTAAGCTCATTTTACATCCTTCAAATCTTTTGAGCTGTTTACAACCTTTTACTGGTCCTTTCAGCTTATTCTGCTAGTTTCAGTTATTTAGCTGTTTTCTGCTAATTGTAGCTTTTCAGCCAATTCCACCTTTTTATGCTAATTACAGCATATTCTAACTTTTCAGCCAGCTTTTTTAAGCATTGTTTAGTTAATTTCATCTGTTTTCAGATAAATCCAAGTTGTTCGTGTTAATTTCTGCTACTTTCAGCCTAATTAACATGTTTATGCCAATTTCAGCATGTTATGCTCATTTCAGCTTTTCTCTGCTATTTTCAGCTTTTTATGCTATTTCAACTATTTAGCTCTTTTGATGCCAATTTTAGTTTTATCAGCTAATTCCAAATTTTTTTAATCTCATTTCAGCTTTTTCCACTTCCTTCTGGTAGTTTAAGCTTCTTTCTGCCTTTTCAGCTACTTGTCAGTTATTTTTTGCTGATTTCAGACATTTTTTTTGTTGCTAATTTACTAATCTTTGTGCTCATTTCTGCTTATTTAAACCTAATTCAGCAAATAATGTTCTTTCTGCATTCTTCTGCTAATTTAGGCTTGCGCTTCCATTTAAGCTACATTTCAGATTTTTTTTTTTTTTTGCTAATTTCAGCTGTTTTTCAGCAAGTTCTTCTGCAAAAGCATTCACACTGCATTTTCACATGAAATACATGTTATTATTAACATTTTGATAAAGAATTTCAGGAAAGATGCGCATAAATTAGGCTTTGTCTGCGCACACACACACACACACACACACACACACAGGATGTGAGGTAAGACATTTCAAAAACATACCAACGTCATCGTATTCATACTTTTCCATCTCAAGCATGGAGGAGGGTCCACTCCTGAGGACTTTTGGCCTGCAGAAAAATGTGCGAAAATAGTCAAACAACAAAATAAATACAGATGATAGCAAAGACAGAGTTATGAATGTATATTTGCCTTACGTGCCGTCTGACTGACACTTCCTGTCTTGTAGAGTCTTGTGGTTGAGCTGTGTGCCGCTGCGCTTACCAACGACCCCACAGAGCACATCTTTATCGCTGCTGAACAGAGCTGGTGATATAAACTCAGCATCCTTCTCTGCAGGACGGGGCGTGATGTTACGCTTGTTACTCTGATGTGCGTCTCTATTGGTGACCACAGATGTGGTCCCTACACCTGATGTGTTGTTAAATGTTGGCAACGAGCATTTGACAGTTTTGAGTTTTGAAGGTGGCTTCAGGGAAGGCACCGGAGCGCCCCCTGGTGGTTTGGATCCAGCTGCTTCGTTGCCTTTTTTAGGAGTGCCAAGTCCAGGATTGGGTTGTTTTTCCAGTTCTTTCTTAGGTTTGGGTTCCTTATGGTGAAGCTGCTGAGGCCGTGAGGAGGTGCTCTCTAAAACACCAGCAGCATTGTTAACTTCCCACCACTGACTCGGTGGCTTTCTCCTCCGTTTTGCTGGTTCCACTTCCCAGAGCCGATCTTCAGCTGCTGTGGACGTGACAGAAGTTTTTTCACTGGAAGAGTAACCGTAGACTTTCTGAAATACCTCACCTCCTGCGACAATAGAACAAAAATTAGAGTTAGGTTCACCATCAAGATACCTTCCCTAGATTTACTGTTTGCATTTTATGCAGACAATAATGCCACTTTATTTTTTTGCTTTGTAGGCCACTACTTTAGTTGCAGTTTTACTTCCTTTCATGCTACTTTGTATAATCCCCATCAGCAAACAATACACAAATAATAAAAAAATATTTTTGCATTACTGTAGTATAAAGATCAATGTGACGAGTTCATGATACCAAACATTAGAAGCTTCAGTAGGAAACATTTAGTTAAAATGATGATGTTAAAATGTTTATATAGAAGGCAGTTTGGTAAAGTATCAAATGGTATTAATTGTAAAACAGAATTTACAGTAAATAAATATGCATGCACCAATTCATCATTATCAGCAGAATGATCAGTAATGATTTGCAGGTCATCTTAAGTAGGGTATATTAATTATGAACTTTATTTTCAAGCAAAAGATGTGAAAACGTCCCACTTTACCAGAGTTAATACTGACGTCTCTGTGTGTAAAAACCAAGGGGCTGGAGTCCTCCTGATTGAGGTCTTGATCAGGGAACTGCTGCTCCTCCTTTGCCTCCGCTGTGTCAATGATTTCATCTGTTTCTTTCTGGTTTTTTCCTTTCGTCTTTCTTGTTTTGGTCTGTTTACATTTACTTTCTTTAGGTTGATTTGCAAGACTGCTGGATGCCAGCGCAGGCTGCTTCTGACTTTTTTTCTTGTCAGCTTTGTCCTTTTTGGCCTGTACGGTTGGAGCAGTTGTACTTGGCTCCTTAGTACTGTTCTGCTTAGACTTCTTGGGTGGTAGTGGGTTTTCTGCTTCCTCTGCGTTCTGAGAAGTCAACCACCACTGGCCAGTCGGCTTTCTCCTTCTTTTACAAAGATTGTTATCATCTTTAGATGAATGCTCTTCAGAATTAGCTGCCTGCTTGTTTGGTTTAGTTTTTCCATTCACCTTCAATATTGCGATTTCTTTGTCTATAGGGCAGCAAAAAGACAAAAAACACACACACACACACATATACATTATACATACATACATACACACATATATACACACACACACACACATACAGTATATATATATATATATATATATATATATATATATATATATATATATAGATATCTCAACACCAAACAAAACAAAGATTTTTTTTTAATGACTTCTGGGTTTCTTGACAAAGAGGTATTATAAATTGCTTTAATAAGTAACACTCCCTTAATAATGTATAAATCACAAACACTGATAACTGTCAAAACTTCAGTTATAAAAGCAAAACCACAGTGTGAACCTGTTTAAGAGGAAAAATATGCACTTAATGACGGTGTCTTCTGTTCTTTTCTTGGACAAATCTGGACGCAGCATGATTTTTAGAAACGGTAAAAAATGTGAAATAACTTTGACAAGAAATCACCAAAAACAAAATTGAACAGAGGGGAAAAAAAAAAGTCAACTGACCTGAAAATGAACCCTGGTCTTCAGTTTGTGCAGGCTCCTGGTTTGGTTCTTCATAAACATCATCAGCCACCGACACCACCTCCTTTAATGTGTCGCTCCTTTTTCTTGGGGTGATTTCGTTGCCATCCTTAAAATTATTTCTCCCGGTGGACTTTTGTTTTGTTGGTTCAGTTTTCTGGGAGGGATTCTCTGCTACCGCGCTGGCTGTTCTTACAGGATCCTCTACCATGTCTTTGGATGAAACCTTCTTCTGGCGTTTATTTTTCTTTGATTTCTGCTGCTCCATCGGATCAACAGGACAATCCTCTGGAATGGGCAAACTATCTTTAACGTTTGTTTTTGGAATAACAGCCTGACTTTCTGGTTCGTTGTTGGCCGTTTCTGGTGTTTCTTGTGGCGGATCTGTCAGACTGTCCTTTGATTCCCTTTCTGTCAAGCTCTCTTTATCAGTACTGGAAGGTTTGCTCAGTTTTTGTCCCTTCTTTGTGGCATTTTTACTTGGGATGGAAAACCAAAGTGGTGCATCATCTTCCAGAATCAAAAAATCATCTTCTGGCTCAGGAGGAAGTGGAGATGCCTTAACTGTCGACTTCCTGAAAAATATATGTGATAAATAAATCAAAAAGAACACAAGACAACAAGCCTACAAATATGCCCTTAACTGTGGTGGTCCCTCAGATATCAACAAACAGTTTAGATGTGCCCTTAGTTGAACTCACTTTGTTGGTTTCGACTGAACGGTCTGTGTGATCTTCTGCAGAAAGGCAGACATGTCTTTTCCCACACGTGAGGACAGCTCTACAAGTGGCTGCTTGTGAACACTTGCTGCGATGTTCTCAGGAGCAGAACCTTCAGGCTTCCGTCTCACTGCCAGAGCGCACGACTTGGTGCCATCCTGGCTGCTAATAACCATTTAAAAGGCAACAAAATAAGGTTTGACAGCTATTACAGATGACATAATATGCTGCAATAATAAAAGCAGAAGAAAAAAACTTTTGGCAATGGTGGAATACACGGTAATCAATTACATTTACTTGTGTTACTGTAATAAAATGGTATTTGTGTACTGCATTTTTCACTGTATAAGTCACACCTTTTTGTATAAATGAGCATGCCCTGCGACTTATACAGCGAAGTGACTTATTTATGGGCTTTTCCATATTTATAAACCAATTTTTGGCTGAGATATGACAATTTTATTCATTCTGGCATGGAAAATATTGAACACTACCATTTTCAGTCACTAGAGGGCGGTTGAGTCATATGGCAAGCCAAGTGTCTCATTAATGGGTAAAAGTGGCTATTAATGAGACACTTGGCTTGCCATACTGAACCACCTTCGTCTCGCTCCAGAACTTCTGGAGCAAACGTCAAATCAGCTGCATTTCACCGCGCCGCACAGGCGAAATGCAGCTGATTTGACCATTAAAGTGCATTTATTAAGGAAAAGTTCAACTGAGTCACAACTTTGCTATAATTCCGAACAAACAAATAATTATTTTTAAGTGTTAGTCTTGTTAAATTCTTGTTGAAGTCCTCCTTTTCATGCTCCCGAGGCCGCCATTTGGCAGCCAGTCGTTTTATGGCACCACACCGGCCCATGGTTCTGGGCAGGGCTTAATTTGTAAATTAATTGATGCCCCCAAAAATTTGGAATAAAAGAGACTTCATGTTGTGTTTGCCTAATGGCATTTCCAACTATCAAGAAACATAAAATGTGGTGTCTTACAAACAATGAGCCATTACAAGAACGAATCATAAAAGCTTCAACACCGCTTATAAAAATAGCTTCAAATATACAGTAGTTTGGCTTTTTTTGTACTTTGATCACCAGAAGCTCAAACTAAATAAAAATAGTTTTTAAAATTACCACAATGCTTTCACTTTTTTGGGAGTGGCCTTCTTAGCTTGAGCAGCCCTGCTTGGAGGAATCCCCATTTCACCATCATGACTGCTGGAAATAAGGAGAATTGTGGAAACAGCTTAGAGGAAAAAAATACAACGAGAATAGAAAGCAAAATAATTTAACGATTTCTGAAAAGGTTTAAATAAAATAAAGTTTCCTACTTTTCTGTGACTCGTCTATTGAAGTCAGGTTTCTGGGTGGATGGAGGGTTTTTGTCAGGTTCCTCTACAGCTTCATCCTCACAGTTGAAAAGAATCGGTGACACAGCGCTGCCGTTTCCATCAACTGTTTTTTTTATATTTTTTTTATTCATAATCTGTTCAATAGGGCTGGAGGTCTTTACTGGAGTGTGTGCTTTGAAAGGGATGTCCAAATCTGCAGCAAAGAAAGAACTGATCTACCACTTAAAAAGAAAAGTATAACTGCACAAGATTAAAATGAACAAGGACAAAATCTGAAATATTATGGAGAAAATAGAAATTAATTTAAAAAAATGTCCAAATAAAATGTATACGTTAAAAAATATATTAAATCCTCCATTTTTATTAAATTGTGTTTCTTACCAATGTGGGATTTGGGATATGATGATCTTGTAGCAGGTAGAAAGACACAGTCATCAGGATCCTAAATAATTGCAAACAAAACTGTTGAAAGACTCAAAACATCAAATCTAAATTTGAAAGCCTAAACAGATGCACAATCACTTCTGAGATTTTAAACAGGAGCTGTGTTGAAAATTAAAAGACGGTGGTTTTTACACAACACAAGCACATGATAAAACATGAACTGTAACAAGGTTAAGTCAAGTCCTCTGGACGGATTCTTCGTTTGGTCCTCCTTTTTACATGTGAACAGCTAGTTCGGGATGTCAACAACAAACTGGTTGATCCACTATGATGCTATTTATAAGGCTGAGTTTGTTGGAGCTCCTCAGACTTAAGAAGTCGTTAGGATAAAAGACGAAATGTTTCAACAAATAAGAATCCGTCCAGAGGACCGGACTTAACCTTGTTAGATTTATCCATCTGGATTACTGAGCATGCATCAGGACATATAAACTGTACATTTGTAATTTTAGAACGCGTCACTGGCTTGAAGGGACTGTGTGAGGTGACTTGAAGTCCTGGAGGATTTTCTGCTGGGAGTTTTCCCTGCGGGACTGAAGAATTTGATATTTCACTCTGGCTTGTGCCAGAATTAGAAGACTGCAGTGTAACAGAAGTTGGATACAGATCTAGTGTGCCCACATCTGAAAGAAAAAAAAAGGACACACATTAATAGCATCAAAATGACAAACTAACAAAACCTAAAGAATAAAAATCTCAGTCACCAATGTCATCAAATATCTTGTCAACATCCTCCTGTGTTAGTGGTTGCTTCCAATCATTTGATATCCTGAAACATATAGTAATACAGTTGAAACGGTTACAAATCTCACACACAAATGTTAATAACTTTACATATAAAATTAAATTCATAAAATTTGGAGCTATACTACCTTTAAAAAAATGCAAGTAATGTATATGGTATTTAAAACTGGTGAAACATTTAAGTAAATAATCAAATAAAACTCAGCAGGGCACATAAATATATTTGTTTACTAAGCTAAACTGATTGCAGAACATATAAATATACAATTATTGGTTTCTGAATTTAAACATTGTGCCACCACAATAATTAAAAAATTAGGAGCATCTTACATTTGTAGTATAAACACATTAAACCAAATGTATTTTGTGTGCATGTCCAAAAATACCTTTCCTTTTCTGTAATGTAGCAGAGTTTCCTCTTGGGTCTCCTCTGAAAACAGACAAGTTCTTATTAGTTATTCAAGCAGCTACAATCCTATAATTTCAAAAGAAAATTAGGGAGATAATTAATCACTTGAATCATAGACAGTTCATTTAATATAGGATTTATAAAATTAATGCAGTCTCAGTTAGCTCATGTATTTGTAGTTTTACACACAGTAAAAGACCTGCAGATGTCACAGCATACACGTGACCATGGAACTTATTAATCAATGAATAATTAACAAATTTCCAATCAGCTAAGCAGAAATACAATCTTGCTAATCTGTTCAACCACTACCATTAACTTTATTTTATACAACCAGTATATCTGGGTTAACATTTAGCCCTCTTCATACAGATAAAATAAACAAATAGACAACGAGTCCCTTAACTTACCAAGGTAGGATACTTTGTCTCCATTTTTAACGTTACACGAACAGCGAAACTTAACAACCGCTAACGTCATCAGCTAGCTACCATTTTGTTTTCGGCTAAAATATTTTTCTTAATCCTCCGAACGCATTTATTAGTTTGCTCGAATATAATATTAGCGTGAAGGAATTTCATAAGTAACTAAAAGCTGCTGGAGAGACCGTCTCATTATTTTTTTAATCAACGTTAGTTTGAACAAAACAATGGCGCAATTTGTAAATAACCTGCGAGTGCGCGCCTTCTGCATAGCTAAATTGACCCTCGGCGTTGTCTTACAGGATGCATTTTTTTTTTTTTTAAGTATACGTTTCTCCTTATTCTAATTCGTCTAAAATAAGCGTTTTAATTTATAAAAACAAATTTATAGTGAAAAATTATTTTAAGCATGTATAATCTGTATTTTTTTTCTTACTTTATGCCTGAAAGAACTTACGCGGGGATAAATTAAGCACAAAATTTGACATATTCTTCTTCTACATTTTAATTCTTGGAAGGCTGGATATACTGCCACCTTTGGGTCAAAATAACACCATGCAGCAACTACTTTTAAAGGTTAATATTTTTTTTTTTTATTATTGAACAATTGAAGATACAGAACAAGTGAACACACTAACAGAATAAATGACAAACTCAGATACCAATGATACATATAACTAAAATAATTTGTCAGAGGGCTATATTATCTGAGTGAGGTGATCAGAGAGCTTTTTTGCGTGTGGTTTTAAAGGTTAATATCTCAACAGTATTTGCATACTGAACTTCTCAGTTCTTATTTCGCTTGTTAGGTATCTGTTGTTTAGTCACACTACATCTATATAGGTAAAACTAAATAGCCGATGCATAGCGCCACACAAGCTCCAGCTCTTTGTGTGAACTTAACTTGAAGCTGAAACCTACAAGTTTATTTAAACCACACAGGTTTTTTTTCTCAGAATAAGTTAATTCCACAAAATTGCAAATATATATTTATTTATTTTAGTCTCTAAATCTCATTTGTTAAATTCATTTGGCTCCCTCCCAGCAGGTGAGACCAATTCATTTCAATTCAATTCAGTTTATTTATATAGCACCAAGAAGTTGTCTCAGTCACACACCAGAGTTTACTCTGCTATGATTGGCCAATGCACAATACAAGTTTTTAATCAACATAATTTTCAACGTTAAAATATTCTTGGTTGCTGCTAACTGGATAAACAAGGACATGCTCCTGAACAATGCATGTTCCATTTTATTACAAACTTATAGAGAACATATTAGAGCAACTTTTACAAGTGAAGCATTTTGGTATGGAGTCTTGCTCCAACAAAAAGCTACTTTTAATTGATGCAATATTTAACACAAAATAGCTCAGTTTGAATCAGAGAACTGGAAAATGACCCATTCCTGTTAAAAGTTGAAAACAGAAGATGGATTTGTTACATCTTGTGATCAATTCAGCTCCAGTAGACCTCGTGTGAAGCCACAGGGTTATAGTTTCATATTGTGTACAAGTTTATCTTCTGTAGCCTATAAGTCAACTTACACTAGTGGCTTTAAGGGGAAATTTAATCTCATGAACCAGACATCCATCCATCCATGCATTATCTGTGTCTGCTTCTTCTTTTTCGGGTTGCGGGGGTCACAAACAAAATTGATATAAAGTTTTAGACGTTGCATATAAGAAACATCAACAGAATTGTCTTTTTTTTTTTTTCAAACTCTTTATTATAAATGGAACAAGCAGTTCTGCATCTTTATGTTTCTGAACTCATTACAAACAAAAAGAAAAGCACTTGTCGCATATAGGGGACTCTTCCTATAAAAATCATCATTCATACAAATGAAAAGTTTTAAAACCAACCATCATTTAACAGCATCTTTATGAAGGCTGCAGAAGAAGTCCAAACAGGAAGCAGCTTTGAACTGGGTGCATTCTGCAGGAACACATCCCAACATCTCCATGGGATCTTTCTCGGGTAATTATGTACAGTTCCCTCTGAATCCATCCGCAGTTACCAGAACTTGAAGCCTGGCAGCATCCTGGCCCGCTCCTGTTTGACCTGGGGACAGTACCTGCGGGTGTGGGCCTGGTCCCCGGTGGCATCACAGATGGGGCAAGTGTACCTGCGGAGGACAGGACACAGGACCTTCCCGTCGTTGTGTCTGAGCGTGTGGGACCTGAACACCCGGGCGGACTCTCCGTTCTGCTTGCAGAAGCGGCAGTAGTTTGCAGAAGTCCCGCTGCTGCAGCTGCTGCTGGAGCTCGTGGAGTTTTCAGAGTCTCTCCGCTGCTTGGACCAGGTCCGGATCTGCGCTCCTAGCTCCATCTTTGGCTCCCCGGTGCCTCCCAGGTCCTCCTCCTCCTCCTCCTCCTCTTCCTCACGCCGGCCGCAGAGCTGTTCCAGCAGCCTGCTCAGGTTCATGTAGTCGTGCCACATATCGAAGCAGTCGGAGTTCTGGACTTCCACTTTTCTTCTTGCGCTCATTTTGGGAAGAAGAAATGCGCAGCGTTTGCGTCAGAGCGCACCAGAGTATTTATAGACACAACAAAGCGAACGAGTTGCAGGTGTTTGGTGGCGCAGACTGATGGCTTTTCTTTTATCTGAATCATAAATCATTAGGGTCTTTCTCTCTCTTTATCTTAGTATAAAAAAAAAACTAATATTTTGATGTTTTTATCTAATTATTTCCTTTACTGACAGTGAAAAATCAACAAAATATAGACAGGCAGTCATGACACTGATGCAATTTAAGCATTAGACAAATCTTTTTTTTTTTTTTTTTTTTGCAGGTGCACCTGTTTTGCTTTAATGGTGACATTCATTCATTCAACCTAAAAGCAAAAAAAAAAAAAAAAAAAGTTTTAGGCTTAATCATCCAGGTAGATAACAACAACAACCAAAAAAAGGTGAAATCATTTAATCTGAACCAGTTTCTTTAAGGGAGAAACCTAAAAAAATGTTAAGTTTGTTCAACTGTCCCCCTCTTACAATGCTGTTATTGCTAGTATCATTCAGCCCCCTGTGAATAGCAAGCAGCCATCAGGCTCATGGTCCTCCTTGATCATGTGAACAGTTTTGAATGTCAACAACAAACTGTTTGATCCGCTATGAGAAGGTGCTATTTACAAGATGGAGCTGAATACAGCTCAAGCTGAAGAAGTCTTTCGGATGAAAGACGAAACGTTTCTACAATTTTTTTTTTGTTTTTTTGAATCGTTCAGAGGATTTGACTTAACTTTTTTAAATTGTTCTACCTGGATTATTGAGCATGCATCAGGATATTAAGGGAGAAACGTTTCGTCTTCAATCCAGAAGACTTCATCAGTCTGTAGCCTGCCAAACAGATTTGTCCCATAAGTAGCTGCGTTTCAAGTCAACTTCCTGTTGGAATCTCAGAAGCAGGCTTTTAACACATGCAAAAAGATCCGTCCAAAACAATTAGGCTGTTTCTGTGAGTAGCAAGTCGACCATCTGGCCTAAAACATTTGATTGTTATACATGATGATGGATTGTTTTGGATGGATGGTCTGTTGCATGTGTTAAAAACCTGCTTCTGAGATTCCAACAGGAGGTTGGCTCATTGAATGCTACTTATGGGACAGATCTGGTTGGCAGGCCACACACTGATGAAGTCTTCTGGATGGAAGACGAAACGTTTCTCCTTTAAAGAAACTGGTCCAGATGACATAAGTTAACTTTTTTGTTCTTTATTTATACAGGTTATGTCTCATTGAGCCGCGTGGACTCATTTACAAGAGTTTTAAACAAACAGAAAAGGTACAAATATGAAAAAAACATATAAAATGAAAAGTAAATAAAGGAAATAAAAGCGAAACAAAAACAGTAAAAAAAAAAGTCAAAAACAGCTACATTGTAAAGCTGTAGCTGTTTTTGTCAGTTTTTTTTTGTTTCGTTTTTTTATTCCTCTATTTACTAACATAGCCAAATTTATCCGTTCTGTAATTGTTTTGCCTTATGTGCATAAGGTTAGACATCAAACAGGTGTAAATAAAGAAAACATCACAAACATGTGAGTTGAAGAAAGTAAGTGTGCTTCTTTTCACTTTTGTTTTATTTTTGATTTCTCTACTTCTATATAGGCCTATATATAATTGCATTACAATATAGTGGAAAAAATAGTAATTAGTTATAAACAGTTTCCTATAAAGTGCAGTTTTTTGTTTTGTGGAACAGCTTGTCTTAACACCTCATTATTCATTCCAAACATGTTTAGTGTTTATAAACTGAATTTTAAATAACTACATTTTCTGTGCAAGTGCTCCTTTTCGTCTGTTTTGGTTTCAAGAAAGGAAACTTGCATATTTTATTTTGCCTATCAATACACTGTGTTGTGCCTGGTTGTCACTGATTAGAGGCCAGACAGTATGGTGATGATAACATGTGTGTGTGTTTGTGATGTTCGTGTGTCTGCACAGACGACGCGTGGTCAACCTCAGGTCACTTGATGGACCTTGGCGCCGCGTGTCTACTTAAAACATAATGCCACATTGACACCTGCGCCTTTTTGGCATCACTTTCCTAACACCTGAAAGAGTGCGGACGGTGGCGCGGTGAATTCAAACGGTCTTTTATCCTGCGCAAACTCGTTGTCTGCGAGACATGGCGTCCTTCAAAAATTACGGTGAGTTTTCTTTATACTTCTACGTCGCTCGTTTTGTTTGTAGGCGGAGCTAGAATTACGGACGCTTGTGCGCATGTCTGTTCTTGTGCGTAGCAAAGCTACGCAGGGAGTTCCTTGTGCGTTAAATACAACGCATGCGCAGTAGTATACCGGCGACGGCTGTACGAACGGTGGCCTAACGAAAAAAGGGGATTAAGAGTCCAATCTGACAGGTCAGATACTTTTATATTTACATTTTTTTTATCAAGACTGTTTGGTGAGCTTTAACAATGGCAATATATATTTTGTTATTATTTGAGTCAGAAACATTTTTTATGAAACGTCGGTTTGTTGAGTGCGTTGATCTTGGTCTCGAGCTAGGCTAACGTCCAGTTAGCCAGTAGCGGAGGCTAATACTGGCTAATACCGCTGTGACTTCTGTAGTTTGACCAAGTATAGACGTTAATTTCGATTTGACCTGGGTTTTTCAGTAGTGTGAATTAACTACGGAAAGTTTTATCTCTTGCTTAGGCAAACGTGGCATGATTTCGTTACCTTTAAGTCAAGCAGTGTGGTCAGTGAAAGCTAACCTGCTAAGGTGTCTTATTGCCTTAGTTGTTAAGCAATGTTTGCTTTGAGGAATGAGCTACTCAGTAGCTGTAAAAGACATCTGAAGTCAATGTTACGGCCGTAGTTTGGGATTTTCCTGCCTAAAGGGACCGACTCCGTGTATTTCAAAGTTGATGGTAAACCTACGAACTGTGTATAAACTAGGAGCTCTGTTTCAGCCATTAAATTCAAAATCATGTCAGCAATAGACTTGTTTACTTTGTTCTCAGGCTACACCATGAGTCAAGGTAAGGACAATGCACGACTCAAGAGCTACAAGAACAAGTCTCTCAACACGGATGAGATGAGGAGGAGGAGGGAAGAGGAAGGCTTGCAGCTACGAAAACAGAAGAAGGATGAACAAGTAAGCAAAGTGTGGAATATACAACAGTGAATTGATAAACCAGTCAAAATTATATTGAAGTTTTGTACATCTCGACTTAACATTGAGAAAGCGCAGAGTATATACTGAAACAGATTCCTCTACATCTTTGTTACAGCTTTTTAAAAGAAGAAATGTTGCCACGGTGGAAGATGACGGCACCGTCGAGGATGATGGAATGGCAGATAGTGGCTATCTGGAATCGCAAGCCAACAACCTGGACCCAAGCACTGTGAGAAAACATTCCAACTCAACACGAAGCCATCATTTACCTGTACTTGTTTACTTTTTGTGAAACATATGCATTATCACTGCACCTTACAGGGTGGGGTGATCTCTGAAGACATGATTCAGATGATCTTCTCCAGCTCTCCTGAGCAGCAGCTAATAGGCACTCAGCGCTTTAGGAAACTTCTCTCTAAAGGTATGATTCCCTTGACTTTGTGCATTTTCTTGTGCGTGTGTTTCTCTTTGTGCATAACAGTGGACTTTATTCTCTAGGCAATGTTTTGCAATTTTTTTTTTGTTCTTTTACTTGTGAATTAAAGATACTGGTAGTGATGTTTTCAAAATCTGCAACTCTGGCCTATTTTTTACTAAAGTGTCCATCGTTTGCATTTTTGTTATTAAATCATTTTGACTACTTGTTGACATTTTGCTTTCCCACCACTGTATGACTCACACAGAACCCAACCCGCCTATTAATGAAGTTATAGCCTCTCCTGGGGTGGTGGAGCGTTTTGTTGAGTTTCTGAAGAGAAGAGAAAACTGCACGTTGCAGGTACATTTCACCTTTTGTTTCCGTATAATACCCATGTGAAAATGCAATTGAAGTTAATGAAGCTGAAGCTTTTGATTATTAAGGCGTTACAAGAATAAACTCTGCCTTCTATTGTCAACGCTGTGTGTAGTTTAATACTATTAATGCATTTTTTTTTTTTAGTTTGAGGCCGCTTGGGTGTTGACCAACATTGCTTCAGGTACATCCCACCAGACACGGGTTGTGATTCAGGCAGGAGCTGTTCCTATTTTCATAGAGATGCTCAGCTCAGACTTTGAAGATGTGCAGGAACAGGTAAGATTTCCTGACTCTACGTCATCACTCTGTCAGGCAATCCTTTTTAAGTGTACATGTCCATGAGTTCAGCAAAAAAAAAACTAGTTCTGTAACTGGCCAATCATTGCTGTATTGAAAATAGCACTTTGCTATATTGGTTGTTGTCTGACTTGAATAAATGCTTTACTTACCAGGCGGTGTGGGCCTTGGGAAACATAGCAGGTGATAGCACAGAATGCAGAGACTTTGTCATAGAATGTAACATCTTGCCTTCCCTGCTGCAGTAAGTGGCAACTCTGTTATTGGTTTAAAAAAAAACAAAAAAAAAACTAAATATACATGAAATCAAAAGAACTTGCCAATTTTAGTCTTTAAAATTTCACTTGCAGGTTATTGGCCAGACAGAATCGTCTAACAATGATGAGAAACGCAGTGTGGGCGCTCTCAAACCTGTGCAGGGGAAAAAACCCACCCCCAGACTTTGCTAAGGTAATTTACCAAGATTTTATTGCTACACTACAGCAAAGCTCACATTTCACCATCACAAGGCAGATTGTTTATATCTGAACCAAAGGGGGTACATGCTTCCAGAACTCAGAACTGTGACCCACTTCCTGTACTTCTCCATCTCCCTGTTTCTTCTAGGTGTCCCCATGCCTCAGTGTGCTGTCCTGGCTGCTATTTGTCAATGACACAGACATTCTAGCTGATGCATGCTGGGCATTGTCCTACCTGTCTGATGGCCCTAATGATAAAATCCAGGCTGTTATTGACTCAGGAGTCTGTCGGAGGCTGGTGGAACTGCTGATGTAAGACTGTACACCAAAATTACTGAGATTGTTATTAGAAACTGTTTATTAGAGTCTAGTTTATTGGGAGTAAGAAGGAAGCCAATATTGGCTGAGGCACTAACAGAATCTTGCATGAGTCACTTCTACTACTTTGGCTATGGAATCAAAATATAGATTCATTACAAACATTTTACTAACTTAAGCAACAACTTCAGACAGGCTGCTGACTGGATACAATTGCGCTTCCCTCTAGGCACGCGGATTATAAGGTGGTGTCTCCTGCACTTCGTGCCGTTGGGAACATCGTCACTGGAGATGATCTGCAGACACAAGTAATGGCACACTCTGAACAAACTCTTTTAATGTTTGCGCTGAAGGAATTGGGATGTTTAATGTATTTTTCCTTTCAGGTGATTTTGAACTGTTCAGCGTTGCAGTCTCTACTGCACCTTCTGGGTAGCCCCAAGGAGTCAATCAAAAAGGAAGCTTGTTGGACAATTTCCAACATCACAGCAGGGAATCGAGCACAAATACAGGTCTGTCTGCACACTTTTTGTTTTTCTCTTAGAAGTTGAGTAATTGGTGCACACCTCCTAATTATTTATTTCCCTGCAGATGGTGATAGATGCAGGTCTGCTGCCTCTTCTCATCACCATCCTGCAAGTAGCAGAGTTTCGCACACGAAAGGAGGCAGCGTGGGCCATTACCAACGCCACTTCAGGGGGCTCTGCAGAGCAGATTAGGTACGACACCAGTGTGCTTTATACTATAAACAGTTGATTCTCTAAGACAGTTTATGCTACTGGAATTAGTTCATGAAAACACATTTTAGCTTTTGATTTTCATTTATTGCATAAGTTCAGGGTTCCTCTGAGACTATACAGTTTATATTTTCAAATGAATATACCGTAAATTCTCAAAACTGCGTATAACAATTAAATAAATTCTGCCTTGTCTTAATATTTGTTATTGGACAATGGATTATTTTATAAACCATTATTAGGAACTCAAGTGTAGTTTGTACTTTTTTAACCTTTTTATTTTTTGTAACTGGGATTTTACATCCTGTATTAATCAAATTAGTTTTTATTGTTTAATGAGCTATGAAGATCAATTCCAGATGTTTGCTGCCACCTACAGGCATCTCGTGGAGCTTGGTTGCATAAAACCTCTGTGTGACCTGCTCACGCTCATGGATTCCAAAATAGTCCAGGTGGCTCTGAATGGTTTGGAGAACATTTTGCGACTGGGAGAACTTGAGGCCAAAAGGGGAGGAGGCATCAATCCTTACTGTGCGCTCATCGAAGAGGCCTATGGTTAGTGCACGTTAAAATCATTCCTCTTGGAGAGAAGCGCCACATAATCTTGACCTTTTTTTTTTTAAAGGGATGACATAGTTCACTAATTGTATGTAAAATATCAAATAATGTATATTTGTGTTAAGATGTTTTCATATATTACGTTTTTATAATGCTAAAACTGCCAAGAAAACATGTAAATAATTCAACGCGAGCCTGAAGTCAGAATGTGTCACTGTAATTTTTTCTTCTTCTCTGCCTCTCAGGTCTAGACAAGCTGGAGTTCTTGCAGGGCCATGAGAACCAGGAAATCTATCAGAAAGCCTTCGACTTGATTGAGCGCTACTTCAGCACGGATGATGAGGACCCGTCTCTTGCTCCAGCTGTCGACCTGCAGCAGCAGCAGTTCCTCTTCCAGCAGTGTGAGGCCCCGATGGAGGGCTTCCAGCTATAATGCTAAACCTGCACCTAACGTGCTCCAGCTTCATCCTCGCCTCATGCTCACTTCTCTCAGTCTCTGCCCTACAGCCAAGATCCGGAGTGGTGACGCCCTCCGGCAATTCCTCCTTTTCCTTCTCTTGGCATCAGAGACAGATTAAGTCGTTATCATGATTATCTAAAGATCTACCATTTTAGGAGCACGTCTGCGCGTACGTCCAACATGGGTCAGTTTCTGCAGTCCTGTTAAGCCAGTTTGTTGAAGGTTCAGTTAGTCATTTCCGTTTTGTGCCGACTTCTTTATCATCTGAACCTCATCATCTGATCAGGGCCCCAAGTTTCTCCTACTTGCAGATTTTCCTCGTAATGGCATCTCCACATTACTCTTTGGATTTTCTCTTCAGCTCATCAAGAACAAGACCCCCCCCCCCCCCCCCTTGCCCGTGTTGGTTCATTTAGGATTGACAAGCTCCAAATGTAAATGGGAGAATTTGGACTGTGCTGTTTATCTGAAGCATTAATGACCTGACAAAAGATGTCCCGTCTGCCTTCTCCCCTTCAGAAAATGATCTAACCTAAACACTGGACTGACTTTGAAAGGTTGACCACAACAGACTTCCTATAAAAGGCACTTGATTCTCGGAGGTTTAATTTCCTCACCACCTCTTCAAACCACAGATGGACTAATTAGAAACTTGACGTAGTCGCTGTGGGGTGGAGTCTGTCGGTGGCAAACCAAGCTGCTTGCATTCCCACCTGAGTTTCATATCATTCCTCTAACCAGTATTGGGACATCTTCCTCCTGCACTGGCTCTATCCTCGAAGAGTTTAGACTGCCTCTTCTGGTGTGATACAAAAATGCCCATGGAATCATGGGAATTGGAGTCTTCCCTTGCACTGAAACTATTGGATGGACTTGGACAAGACAAAGCAGACTATATAACTTGAGATTCTGTCCAGCAGCAATCTTTTTTTTTTGTTTGTTTGAATTATGCTATAAGTTCATTTAATTTGCAGCACTTTAGTTCTGGACTGATGCCTGTTCATTGACGGGCATTTCTACATTCGCTTTTTAATTGTCTGACACAGCTCACCCTCAGGAAGCGAGACGTAAAGAGAGGTGGTGTTTTCCTCTTTCCCCTCCCAGTTTAACAACTACACAGTTTCGCCTCTTCAAAAAGGAACAGGCTGATTTTTGACTGAAACTGTCGGCAAATGTTTTGTCACAATCAGATGATCATGTTGCCTAAGAAAATTAGAGCTTGATTTGTACAAAGTAATATTCTGCATTTGGAAAATTGGCTGGTTTTTAAATTGAGGAGTCTAAAACATGACTTTCCAATATGATCAGGTAGAATTTTTTTTTTTCCCCAATTTGATCATGCCAAATCAGCACAAAAATCAGTTCTTAGACCAGAGGAATTTTTTTTTTCTCAATTTTTGTATTTTATTGGAGTTTGCATCTGTAACTGATGGTGCCATAATACCTGTTCAACAAAAATCTTCCGTATGATTTCAAATGTAAAAAAAAAAAATCCACATAAAAAAAAAAACTTTAAAGTCTGGCAATCACCGTAGTTAGCACAACTGAATGTTTGTTTACCAAGTCCTGTTTGCGTTGCTTATTTTTGTTTTGCGTCTCAACAGGAGATGAGCAGCTCTTCATGTTCATTACAGTTCGTTGTGTTTGTTCATCTTGTCCTCTGTTATGCCATTTGCATAAAAGTTGTTTCATAAACATACAAGTGGTAAGTGAATCAGTTTTATTGGTATGCATGGTCTCTTGCTAAATAATACACTCTTAATGACGTTACAAAAATGGCAACTTTTACAAAACGGAGCTAATTTGTCCAAACATTTTTCTTGACACTTAATATAAACTGGTACATTTTCCTACATACTGTATATTAACTGGTTGAGGACATTTCTGTTAGCTTTAGGGTCTTCATCCAGAAAAATCAGCTTTAATAAAGCCAGATTACACACCTTGAGAAGCATTTATTAAACTATTTTTGCTTTTGGTGATTTCTTTCTACAAACGAAAGCCACAACGGCTTTAAACTCATTGAACAAAACGATAAACATTTACTACTGCACTGCTTCTTATGAAAAAAACTAAAGACCAGTACAAGATTTGTGTATTTAAAGTGTAGCACTTCTCCAAAACAGACTGTATTTTCCCCGTCACAACAGTTAAGAGCTAACGCTGAAGCATGTTGGCGCTATTAAATAAAAAGGTGCCTTCAACTTTTCTGCACAAGTTCTCGAACAGTAAGGCCAATCCCCTGGGTTAGAAAGTGCTAATAAATACCATCTGCTCTGATTATTTTATGGTTCTGCTCCTCTAAGGTGGGAGCAGGAAGGGAGACACTGCTCAAAGTTTGAAAAATGTGTTAACTTTTTTGGGATCAGCGCTCCTTCACTGAGTCTTCTGAGCCAAAGCTTCTGTCTGCTTCTGCTTTCTGTTTTTCCTCCCTCCACTTGGCTCTCATCTCCATGCCGTATGAGGTCAGGGACTCATGTCTACTTGCAGCCTGTGAAAACAATTGGAACAAAAAAAAAAAGCCTTTAATATGTGATATTTATTTTGAAACTATGCTGTTTTTGAAGATGTGTAACTTTCTGCATCTGTTTAGAAGTCATCAAACCAAACGTGACATCTGAGAAGTTTTACTCCTGCTTTATTCATAAAGTTACGAAGAGGCTGCGAGCGCAGACAAGTACAGATCCTGTTCTTCCACTTCCTTGTTTTTCCCCTCGTAGGCAGCTACTGAAAGAACGTGTGGAGAAATTTTGCACCGTCACCGTTACTCACCCTTTTGCCCGAAATCACCATCAACACGCAGCCCACTATTGTCAGCGCTATCATCGCATAAGCAACTTGTATTCTGATTTTGTTCCTGGCAAAGTCGATCGTATGGAACCTAAAATAAAGTTGTTAAAAAAAACATTTGGTCATAAAAATAATTTTTTACGCTTTTTTATTTTTTTTAACTCAAATACATTAACAGTAATGTATTTTGTATAATACCTGTAACTTTTCAAACTTCTCATCTAAGATCAACATTTTTATTAACAAGTGTTTTGACACGTTCCTAAATTGTTACAGAGTTTGTTCAGTGTTCCTTGAATGCAACAAGTGGGATGTTTTACCTACTGAGCATGACAAGCAGATTTTTTTTTTTTTGTAATCTCAGTAGCAGAACTACGGTGGCCCTAAGGTGTAAATGAACATTTGAAAAAACGGAATTGCATTAAGCCGAAGCGGCTCGCATCACGTTAGAAAAAACGGAATTACATTTGAAAAATCTGAATATTTGAAAAAACTGAATTAAATCAAGCCAAACAGGAAGTTTTTTTTTTTTTTTTTACTTTACTAACGGCATTAAACTGAACAACAGATCAATATACAGTACACGCACAGCGGAGATGCAGCTAGTATGCCATCCTTTTTACTGTATCTCTGTTGTGTGTGTACTGTATATTGTTCAGTTTTATGCTGTTAGTAAAGTAAAAAAAACACCTTCCTGTTTGGCTTAATGTAATTCCGTTTTTTTCAAATGCAATTCCGTTTTTTCTAATGTGATTCGGGCCACTTCCGCTTTGGCCACTTCCGCGATGGCTTAATGTAATTCCGTTTTTTCAAGTGTTCATTTACAACTTAGGGCCACCGTACAGAACAGATGAAATCTCCACCCTGATGTCAGGAGTCGCTGTAATGACCTCCAGCTAAAACGTGTTCTGTTCCACAGGGCCAGCTGCACCACTCATTCAGTTAGTTTGCTTTGTTCTCGTGATGTGAAGGCAATCGGACAGCGATGTGTTGGGAGGTCTGGTTTAAACAGGAGAAGACCACTTACGACACGGTCTCTGGTATCTGGTCCTTGGATTTGAAGCGGCCTGTCCAGATTAACAACTTCTTGTCCATCTCAGAGGGTACGTAGCCTGGGACTTTAAATGCTGGACTGGATTCTGTATGAAAGGAACATGTAAACAAAGAGAAACAAAACAAACCGATGCACGTCAGCTTATCCGTTTTCCTAAACAAATCAGCGATTTTTTTTTTTTTTTTTTCCCCCATCACAGAACACATCACATTTCCTGTGTTCCTCTCGGTCCTTTGGGTCCAAAAGCAAACATCAACACTTCTATCCGTTGAAAGCACTCTGGAAGATGTGCTGAAAATCCATTTACAAAGAGTCTTACACCATCTTGATAAATTACATTCTACTTTAACGGTTTTTACAAGTATTCTACATTTAAAAGGAACATCCTGTAAATGCGATATGACATTTAATCATTTCCTACATGGCAACAAAGAAAATGTTTAGAGGATCATGTTGCGTTGGGGGTAGGGCATGCTGAGACAAAATGAAAAAATAAAAATTAAGAATTTGTGATCCAAAAGCTCTTACCTTTTACTGAAGCTGCAGGCGAAGACTCTGCTTTGGTCTCCTGCAGTTTATTACTGCACATCCCTCTGATTCTCTGACCTGTTTAGAAATTAAACAAAAATATATTTTATAGTGCTGCATTCAAGGATTATTTTAATCTGCTCTTGATTTTCCTAAATCGACAATTTGAGCTCATACAAACTAATCTTACAAACAAATAGTGTTATTATAACGAATAGAAGCAAAACTAGGAAATACTTTTTTCAGCTAATCACAGGCTAAATTCAGAAAAAAATATAATACAATAAGCGTTTTTACATAAAATAAGACGAGTAGAAGAGGAAAAACGAGAATCAAATCTGAGTCAGCTTTATTCGAACTTGGTACCAGTCATATAAAAACGTAATAACTTATATAAAAAAGTTACAGCAGTGCAGAAACCCGACTGCATGTAACCAGTCTTTAAAATAATGTGATATTAAAGAACACACGAATATATATAAATATGTAAACAACCTTACAGCTGTCAGTTTCACACAAATACAATATTATTAAGAAGCAGCAGGACGAGACGGTGCCTGCTAGAGACGTCGACATTACGGAAAATAACAATACGAACCGAGGAGGGTCCTTACGGACAGGCGACATCTGACGAAATTCATGATGAAATCGATAATTTAGTGTCCGTGAAACTGAAAGGGTTTAATTTAAAACAGTCGCAGTCACTACCAGTCCCCTTCAGCTCTTCAACATGAAAGTCAATTAGCTTGGCCGACACAGGCCTGTCATGTAAGATTAGGTGTCAGCAATATGCCTGAAAATTTTATGGGGTCTTAAAAATGTTTGTTCCTAATTTTAACAGTTACCTGCGGTGATTTTCTTCAACATTAATATTTTCTAAAGGTTATGCATCACACACAAAATGGACCGGTCTGATTTTTTTTTTTTTTTTCGCTTAGCACAGACACTAAAAATGTGGTAGTTATAAAATAAAATCTCCGTAGCATAGTATTATGACAAATATATGTACGCAATTAGTTACACTTTATGGTACTTTCAATCGTAATTTAAAAACAAAACAAACTACTCTAAACACATTAAAATAAAATTTCATTCAGGCACTGACTTGAACACTCCTGTCTGGCTCATTCTGTGGAGGACCCTTGCAATCCACTATGGCGGCGCCCGATGAAACTTTAAACTGTGAGGACTTTTCCTTGTTTCAGGTAATTTAAACCAAACATTCATTGATTTTTGTAAACATTTCAAATATGACATCAAACAGAAATATTAGCTTCTGGAGGGATAATTTGTCGGCTTTTTATTTATTGGGTAACGGTGACCCTCCTGCTGCTTCAAGGATCCACACTGGATTACAGAAAAAACTGGCAGCATGTTCTTAGGAATTACCTTCACAAAGGAGTTAACATTAAATGAACCGTGTCTGGGTTTTATTTAAATTATTAGTATGCTATGGTTAATTCATTGTAAATAAAGTCAAATTATAGTTAGGTCTAAAAATATTTGGTGTTTGTTTAACACGTTTTTTTTTATTAGCATCTGCAAGATTACAGCGATTTTAAAAGGAAGCAAACAGAGTAAGCCTGTAGTGTAAATTTCCTTATTTAATTTCAAGGTTTAAGTTAAATAAATGCATGAACTGCTCACGAATTACTACAGTTTTTTAGTAAAACATAGATTTTTAGGCGCTGGACTCAAATGCAGTTTTAAAGACAGAATTGTATGTTTGTCTGTTACTATAGCCAAAGAGAAACAACTAGTGTTGTCAGCCATCATTTAAAATTAAGATAGTTTTATGCAATGGGACATATATGGTGTCAATATGAAAGTTAAGTCAGTTAGATGGTTTATTTCCATTTACACAAAAGCATAACTAAACTTTTGCATTGGAATTATTGTTGCATTAAGTTAACTTCATGAACGTAAAGAAGTAGATAAAAGTAGAGAAGTTAGGCATTTTAAATAAATTTTATTAAAAGTAAATATTTTAACAAAAGGTTTCAAATCTGTACAAGTAATCAAATATTTAAATACTTTATATTTCTCTGATTTTCACTACACACAGCAGATTACTGAAGCAGCTTAGATGTGTCTTAAGATGGTGTAAAATGAAAAGTTCACTGTTCTGGCCAGTATCACACATCACCATTCCTGTTCACTTTTCATGCTTTGTCAGAGTACTATACTTTGGCATAAAATGTATGTCCACAGCCCCCTCCAGAGGTTGTATTCATAAATGCCTTTAACATACCCAGAAATGAGATTCAGCCCATTTCTATTAGTTGCTTAAAGCAAAATTGAAATGTTTTCTTGTTGCTTTTTTAAAAATACAAGCTCAGGCCCTTCATTTCTATGAAGCTGCTGACTGGCTTTGTGTCACCTTGTTTTTTTAGGAAATGCTGAAAGCAATGCGAACTATAGACGACCGCATTGTCCATGCTCTGAACACTACCGTGCCCACAGCTTCATTCTCAGGAAAAGTAGATGCTACGCAAACGTGCAAACAACTCTATGAATCTGTGAGTGTCAGAAGAAAAGTGTTCAAGTTTGTTTCTGTTTTTTTTCATACAGAAGTAACTTTAATTCTACATCTCTTGCCTGCGTCCCACAGTTGATCGAGGCCCATCAGAGCAGAGACAAAGCTATCAAGGCTTGTATAGCTCAGAAATCTGAGTTGGTGGGACAGCTGCGGGAAGAACGAGCGAAAGACGCTGGCAACCTGAAACTAATCAAAAAGCTCAGAAACGAGCAGACCAACGTAAGTGATGTCGCTACAAGAGCAAACACCAAAAAATAAATGTAGCCGTGGGGATCATTTTATTTTTGCGCGTTCACATTTAGAAATATCGCTCCCGGCACCGCTCATTTCACAAAACATGAAATAAAGATTAATTTGCCGAGCTCACAGCTAGGAAAAGTGAATACAGAGTCATTCACCAGGTTCTTCCTAAAAAAAAAAATCTGATACTAAAAAATATGTGCTGCTCGTTTATTTTGTAGTGTGTTAACGAAAAGGTCAGATTCACTTAAAGCAAACTATCAGCTGCAGAACCAAATACAACTTCTGAACAAGAATTTTAATGATTCGCTGTTTGTTTCATTGGACTCTTATTAAGTCGGGAAACTTTTTTTTAAATCACACGGAAATAATAGGACAAACTTTCATCTATTTTGTTTTGTCCTGCCTTCAGTTGAAGCTAATGCGATCAGAGCTGAACGTTGAAGAAGTCGTCAACGATAGAAGTCTGAAGGTAATTTAAACTCAGTATTCTCATCATCCCATAATATCCTTCAACGACATGTGAGACTTCTAGGTTACTTACTGCTTTATCTTTCTTTTCAGGTGTTTTTCGAAAGGTGTAGAATTCACTACATCCCTCCGAAGTCTAAGTAAGACGTTTGAAGAAATAAGTTGCTTCTTTCGAAGTTCTGATCCAGACCAGAGCCGAGCCTGTGAGATTCTGCCGAGTCCTGACTGTAGACTGATCTCCAGACTTCTTGGACCTTTTTTTTTCCTCCACTTCCGTCTTGTTCTGTAATTATTGTTTAGCAGTACCACCGCTGTAAAAGTGTCATCTGTGTGCTTTCTTATGAAGCATTATTGTACAGAGATTTTTAAAAAAAGATAATGAACTGTTTTCAAGTGACTTCTGTTGTTTTTGTTTTACATCATTTGCAATAATTCCGAGTTAATTAGTGAATCAAAGGGATATAACTAATTAGTGTGTGTTTGATTGTTTTCTTAATTTCATAGACATATTTAAGTTTGGAGGTCCACAACAGAGAGATTAAGTTTTAGATGGTTGATTATGATGATGATGATGATGATGATGATGATGATGATGATGATGATATGACCTCCAAACACACATCTAAGTCTAACACAGCCACCTCCAGGATCTGAACCCACTCTACCTGAGGATAAAACCTCTTATTTTACAGCTTTTTAAACTAAGAAAGCTAAACAAAAATGCAGGCTGAAACTAGAAATAGCATTTGTCTCAGCAGAGGAACTTTCACCACAATCTCAGAAATCAGAAAAATTCAACGAGAATGAAAAAAAAATCTACTGGACCAGCAAACTGTTGCACTCATGAGAGCTCTGACCGATCACCCGTTTGATATGCACTCAGTTTTGATCAATTTATTTATATATAAACTATAAAATAAGTTTGCTGCAGAAAAAAAAAACTAAAGAAGAGGCAGAAAATATCCCAGCACCGATATGAGATTAGATAAATCAAGAGAAAGCCGATCTGATGATAGATCAATTTTAACTTGAGGGTCAATATTAAGAACACATTAAAGAAAATGTTCTGAACAGGATGTAGAGTAGCTTCAAAACCAGCTTATATTTAAAAAAAAAACACTGAAACTGAGGTAAGTGAAAAGAAATCTTAATTCAGAGCTGCAACGAAAGACCTCACCTCATGCAGATGTCCAGAAACAGTTATCTACTTGGAAACAACTTTCGCTTCAGGGAGAACAAAGATAATTTAATGGAAAGAATAATAAATCTAGACCATCCATCCATTATCTTTTACTCGCTTCTTCCGTTTTGGGTCACGGGGGGTCGCCGGTGCCCATGTCCAGCAATCACTGCAAAGGGCGGGGTACACACTGGACAGGTCGCAAGACCATCACAGAGACACAGAGACAAACAACCATTCACTCTCTCACACCGACGGACTCTAAATCTAGAACAATAGATGGTTAAATTACAAAACCAGAAAACATTAAAAAGATCCATCCCTCAGAAGTTGTTCCAGTTCTTTAATGAAAGACGTAAGTCTGACACAAGCTTAGATTGAAGACCTTTTAGGGATTGAAGGCCCAAAGCCCCGTAAGATTTATTTATTTAACCAGGCAAATCCCATTGAGATCACAAATCTATTTTGCAAGGGAGGTCTGGGCCTGAAGGCAGACGATGGTGGGAGGAAACCGGAATACTTGGAGAAAACCCACGCAAGCACAAGAACATGCAAACTCCACACAGGAAGACCCCAGGTCCAACCGGGGATTGAACCCAGGACCTTCTTGCTGTGAGGTAACAGTGCTAACCACTGAGTCATCATGCTGCCGTTAAGAATTGCCATTGCTGGGTTAGTGGTTAGGTTACGGGTCAGGGTTAGGCTATAGAAATGAATGGAAATCAATGCAAAGTCCCTGTAAAGATAGAAAAATAAACGTGTGCATGTGTGTGGGCCTGTGGTGCACCAACCACTTACCCGTGTTGTTGGTGTTATTTCATTTGTGAACACTAGGGGGAGTAATATGCTACCTGTCACTGTCTGCACACCCATAAAGCCAGGTGCAAAGGAGCACAGTCAGGTGTGACAGAGGCAAACAGTGATTTGAGTGTGTAAGGTGTGTTCTAGAATGTGTAAAGCGTATATGACAGTAAGTGCAAGCAGTGTGAGCGGAACCTTTTTGCATCATTTAAGCTGAATGAAATACAAAACCTCGAAATGGAAGCAAGTAATGCACAGACTTTGTTAAAATACAGAAAATAAATGACATCGTTTTACAACAAGGAACTGATTAAAAAAGCACATATTTGGCACGTGTCAGAACAGCTGTCAACTCATCACCAGTGGTATTCATAAATATTTCCATTAACCTCAGATGAGTCTCATCTCATTTTATTGGTAGCTTTAAAATTTAATTAAATGTGTTTGTGAAGATGAGATGGATGCCAAATTTAAGTACTGAGAGTTCACCTGAGCCAAGTTTTGTTGCACAAAACAGCACAACAAGCACAACTGGTTTCACCAGCAGTTTTGTATTTCTTCCAAATACTCTTCACTGTTCTCATACCAAAATGAACAAGAAGGTAAATGTTTTCAGCATTGTGGAAATTTAATTAAATTCACGGATTATAAATAAGAGCCACATAACTCTGTTCTTGTTCTGCTCCTCATAATCTTCAACTGTAACTAATCATTGGGAAACATAGATCACAAGTCGTCAAGTGCAATAGACAAAGCTTTTTCCTTAGTTTACCCATGTCCCAGGAGAAATTTGATAATCGGCCTGCATCCGAGGCCAAATGGGGGAGTCAGATTCAGATAAGCCACAATTGTTGATTTTCATCAGGCAGACTGTTTTTTTTCTTGTCAGCCTTGAGTCCCGCTGGTACTTTCCAGATCCAAAATGGCCACATGTATGGGTATTCCACTGATCCGTGCTATGAGCCTTCTTCAAGGTTGACTCCAACATGCTGGTGAGTCCTAGAAGCCGCAGGTGGCCTGCGATTCTCACAAATCACTTCCATCTTGTGGTTTAGCTCGTAAATCAGACGATTTTGAGTACTCGTAGCACGAACCAAACCTTCACATGGACTTGGCAGTTTTGTCATGGCCAAAACTGCTGCCGATGTCTTCTTCAAAAATTGATAACATAGGGACCCACAGATGCCAAAAAGCAGAAACCCTGCTATAATGAATCCAATTTTATAAAGGTCTTCAGCGTCCTCCTGAAACAGGACTGAAAGACACATCAGCAGCCAAACTCCCCACACATCCCTGATGTATCCTGCAGCGTGAGTCTCGGCAGGACATGAGGGCTCTCCAGGACCCTGTTGATTTGTTGGAAAGATTTTGTCAATTGCGTTGAAAGTCCAGCTCATCAGATCCATAATAGTATTTTTCATTCAGAAGATGTATACCAGGAGCTCCGAGACACACACAAAGAGCAAAAGCAGGAGGAAGAGGCGAACAGGGGAGGGAGAGGAGAAAGCGTCCACCTTGAACAAGTGTGTACATGTTTAGGATGACTCGGTTACTTCCACATAAACTTCATGTCGTTGTAAATTTGAGTAAATTATATCTGTGGTGGTAAAGAACAATAGAAACTGGAATCTTTTTCCATTTATTCAAAACACACAAAACAATTATTATTTTTAAATCTTGTGAACTCAGGCCTTTTGAATACATTTATTAACATTATTCTATTCACACAGCACAACCAAAAAAAGAAACTGTCCAGATGACCTGACTGAAAAATGATGGATTGTATACCTGGATTATTGAGCATGGACTTTGTTGTTTTCAACCAGTTTGACAGGACTGCCAACAAGGAAGAGGGCTGGCAATGGAGGAGGGGGCGTCTAGCACTAACCAAACTGGTTTCTTACACTTTGGAGTAAGCTGTTGGGGGAAGAATCAGTTTTGTGTTGTGTTTCCTTGACTGATGAAGCCTTCCGGATCGAAGGCGAAACGTTTCAGCACAAAAAAGAAACTCGAGATGACCTGACTGAAAAATGTTGGATTGTATACCTGGATTATTGAGCATGAACTTTGTTATTATTCTATTTAATAGGGGGGAGTGCATCCCTTCCTTTATTAGCTGATAACTATCATCAATGTTTGATTAATAAAAAAGCTATTGTTATTGCAATAATAAAGCATGATTAGTAAAGTCATCACATATAATTTGGACCAGGATAAACACAAAACCTCCCTGAGAGTGAACGTGAAAGCAGAACTTCCAGGCTGTGTGACTCTTATGACCAACCACACTGTGTTTAGTGGTAGGGTCTGATGGGATCAAGAGGATCTTCATCTTTGTGCTGTTCTACTCTCTTCAGTATGATCTCTACTTTATCCTCCAGGTGGGGGCTTTGGAAGACATAAATATGAAGGAAATCACTTCCTCCCACATGGACCTGCACAGAGGAGACACCATTATTAGTCTTGTTTTATTATAAACAGAGGCTCTTCTGAAACCATGAAATCACGATTATTAGATCAATTTCTTTTTATATCTGATGCTCTGCTCTTTAACTTTGAATGACAGTGTATGATATGATGTAAACAGTGTTCATCACCTTGATGAGGTAGAAAACTCCTTCTACAATCTGTTGTCGATATTCAGTCGCTTTGAACTCGCTGTAGGTTTTATTTGTCTCGTCCTCCACTTCACTCTGCACCTGATTGTGGATGAATACACGCAATTAGTTAAATTCAGAACAACAAGTTTGTATGTGAAAGTTTTGAAGAATTAGGTCTGAGTAAAGCTCACCGTGTCACAAATCTTCTGAATTTCGTCAGCTGCTGGCTTTATACCAGATAATCCTCCATCCATATTGATAACCTTTGTTGTTTGAACATAGAAGTAAAGTTTCTGCTGCTGTTCCTCGTTATTGCTTCACTCCAGGAAGTCAAGCTATGGACATTGCGACTGGAATGTGGTTCTACTACACACAGGTGGAGCTTTGTGTGTACAGCACAGTTATATCAATATGGGCACAATCTTTTTTACACAAACATTTTTTTTTACAAGGTTACATATCTTTTTTACGCGTCCAAAATATTTATGACTGGAATTTGTGACCGTATTTTAATTGTTATTAGAAAACATTAAAGGGCGCACATCCCGCTCATTTTTATTTTATTTTATTTTTTGCATTTGTGACACCTGGAGAAGCAAAGATAGCATCTAAAACGGGCTACTGCGCACAGCCGACAGCTGCCAACTGTTTAACTAGCAACAAGCCCAACTGGATCTGTGTCACAAATTATTATTGATATATTTACAATAACTTAATATATGAATATTAACATACAACAAGATCAGATTCTTTTGACATTAATGAAGCTAAGACTATAGGATTAAAAAGTGCTGACCTGTCCTGCTGATGCAATGTTTGTCCTGCTACTGTTTCTAAGGTTGTATACCATGTTGGCAGCCAGGCTAAGCTTTTTGATCCGCTGGCCTAGATGAGTTGGCCTGAAACTTGCCAAAAGTATTTCATAAACATTTATCTAAATGCAGAGTGATCATCGGCTGCAGTGAGTGGTTTTTTAAAAAAATGAATCACATTAGAAAATACAAAATTACATTTGAAAAAAACTGAGTCACATTTGAAAAAACGGAATCACATTTGAAAAAAACGCAATCACATTTGAAAAAACAATTACATTTGAAAAAACTGAATTACATTAAAAAAGAACAAAATTACCTTTGAAAAAAAATGTATTACATTTGAAAAAACGGAATCACATTTGAAAAAAACAGAATTACATTTGATAAAACTGAATTACATTAGAAAAAACGGATTCACATTAGAAAAAAACAGAATTACATTAGAAAAAACGGAATCACATAAAAAAAAACAAAAAAACAATTACATTAGAAAAAAATTGAATCACATTAAGCCAAAGTGGAAGTGGCCGAAGTGGAAGTGGCCGAAGCGGAAGTGGCCCGAATTACATTAGAAAAAACGGAATCACATAAGAAAAAAACGGAATTAAATTTGAAAAAACGGAATCACATTAGAAAAAAACGGAATTATATTTGAAAAACTGGAATTACATTAGAAAAAACTGAATTACATTTGAAAAAACTGAATTACATTTGAAAAAAACTGAATTACATTAGAAAAAACGGAATCACTGAAAAAAAACAATTATATTTGAAAAAACGGAATCACATTAGAAAACACGGAATTAAATTTGAAAAAACTGAATCACATTTGAAAAAACGGAATTACATTAAGCCAAACAGGAAGCTTTATTTTAAACATTATTAACAGCATAAAACGACAAAAATTTCCTGTTTGACTGTCCGTTTTTTTCAAATGTCATTCCGTTTTTTCAAATGTTGTTCATTTACACCTTAGGGCCACCGTACCTTTAAGAGGTTCAGCGCTGAAGACCAAAGGATGCAGGCTGGAGAATAAGGGATCAACATTTCAGTGATGCATTGGGGGCCTGTCCATTTAAAGCTCTAAAAGTCCAGAGTAAAATGTTCCAATTAATTCTAAATTCAACAAATTTCAAACTAAATTCTTCAATGAAGAGAAGATAAAACTGGTGTAACGTGAGACCTTCTATTAGTTCCTGTTAAATACTCGTAGCAGCGTCCTGGACCAACTGGAGACGAGCGACAGCAGATTTGTTAAAACAAGAAAAAAGAAAATTACAATAATCTAAACGAGAAGAGATAAAAACAAGAATAATCATCTCCAAGTCAGATTTGGTTATTTCCCTCAATTTAGAAATGTTTCTCAAATGATAAAAGCAATTTTTTTTACTAGAAGCTTTGAGTGTTTGTCCAAAGACATTTTGTGAGACGCCCTAGAACTAAACTGGTTCAATTACAAGCACCATCACTTTATTCCTCGTTGATGTAACTCCATATGGCCCAGTGTCCTTTGTTTCCAGATGTTGAGGAGGTTGAATACATAAGGATATCGCTGCAGTGGTTTCTATGGCAGTTTAGAAGATGGTGACATGCTGATGGCAGCCAGGGGTTTTACATCTACTTGCTTCTGAGCTAATGCCTCCTTTTACAGCTTTTACCAGTAACATTAATGCCCTATTCTTCCAATATAGTTTTGATATGTGCTGCACTGACAAACCTCATGCCAAGACTTGTGAAGAGTGCATGCCAAGGGATCAACTGAACTGATTCTGCATGCACATTATTTTTTATTGTATTATATTAATTTCAAACTCTGTGTCCTGTGAAGTCATGCTTTTGTGATTTCAGTTCAGATGTGCCCTACACAGTCTTGCTTTGCCAACTGATTTTTCAATGATGTTTCAGTTACCATCGTCTTACATTTTCACAGCTTGAGTGTCACTGCTTTATGAAACGAAAATACATTTTTCTGAAGCAGCTTTTATTATTCGGTGAAACAAATCTTCTACGTACAGGCACCATATCGACAACCATAACATCTACCTGCTGCACAGACCAGGCAGCACTGTAGAGTCATGTTCTTTGACTTCTCCAGTGCTTTTATCACCATAAGACCAGCTCTACTCTGCAGCAAGCTCCTGTACATGCAGGTGCATGACTCGCTGGTCACCTGGATCAGACAAGTCGGCCACAGTATGTGAGGCTGCAGAACACCACCTCGGACACCACACTGAGCAGCACAGGAGCTCCTTAGGGGGGCGGTCCTCTCGTCGTTTCTGTTCAACCTCTACACCTCGGACTTCAGGTGCAACTCACAGTCCTGCCATCTGCAGAAGTTCTCATGACTCTGCCATTGTGGGCTGCATTGCTGGTGACCAGGAAGCTGAATACAGAGGTGTGGTGGACAGAACCACCTGCAGCTCAACGCTGGAAAAACTATCTGCAGGTAGACTACAGGAAGAAGATCAGCCCCACACAACCCTATCAACATCAAGGGTATTAAGGTGGACATTGTGGACTGCTACAAGTATGGGGGTCCACCTAGACAATAAACTGGACTGGACAGCCAACACCCTCTACAAGAAAGGGCAGAGTCGCCTTTTTCTTCTGAGGAGACTCAGGTCCTTTAACATCTGCAGGACCATGCTGCAGATGTTTTACCACTCGGTGGTCTCCAGCATCTTCTTCTACGCTGTGGTGTGCTGGAGCAGCAGGGTGAAGAAAGCTGATGCCAACAGACTCGATAAACTCATCAAGAGCTGGCTCAGTTCTGGGAGTGGACCTGCAGTCTCTGACAGACGTGTCTGAGCAGAAGATGATGATGAAACTGCTCCAGATCCTGAACAACACGTCACACCCCCTGCACGACACCCCGGACTCTTACTGCAGCACCTTCAGTCGCAGAGTGAGACCACCGAGGTGCTCCACAGAACAACACAGGAAGTCCTTCAAACTGTTCAACTCCTTCCCCTTTTCTGCACAATAAAATTAATCCTGCATCACAATAAACTAATATTTCTGTCTGCACCTGACCTGTTTAGATCTTGATTGTTGTTATTTTTAGATTCTTTGTTATTTTTTTTATATCTTGTGTATGATCCTTTGTGTTGAAACTCTGGCACAACAATTTCCTGTGGAATCCATAAAGTTCTATCTCATCTCTTAACAAACACCAACATGAAAAGTAATGTGTACTTACAGAGTGATAAAATGAAAATCCCCATAGAGCATGTACTTGTAACGATCAACAATATTGCAGATATATTGTTTGTTAAGAAATGAAATTGCAAGTATGTACTAAAGGAAACTATTGGAATGCAGTCGTTAATAAACTTACCAATACGCATGAACGCACTATTTGTAAAATAATATTTTCAGTCGCAGACATTCATTGTTTTACACTGGCTTTGCATTTTGTGCAATACCTCTTACCTCTAGGTTTTCTAGAAGTATGTACTGACACATCAGTAATGGAGGTATTTTCACCCTCACATATTTTGCCAAACTGGTTTTTGACATGAACACCAGTATGTTCTGGTTAAACTGTCTCCATCTGAGTTGGAATGAATGAGCAGATGCTGCTTAAAAAAATGTGTCACATTTGTTGCACAAGTTTTCTATGAAATCATCAACCCTCTTTTTTTTGTTGTTGTGAGGCAGCTGCTAAGCTACAGGAAGTTAAATAGTTGAAGGGTTTGATGGGGTCAACAGGATCCTCCCTTGTCTGGTTTTCTTCAAGTCCTGTCAGTTCCACACAATTGGTAAGGCTTTTATACGCCTGTAGATGGAGGTATTAGCTTTTTTCCTGATGAATCTATAGGGAAAAGAGTGTATTTAAGGTTAACAAGGAATCAAAAATATTTCTCAATATTTAGTTCACAGTCACATCTGGGTGATATGAACGTTTTTACCTTTTACAGTGTGAATGTTGATGAAGCATTCACTGTGATCCATTTTTCTTCTGTACGTTTTATGGCATCTTTCTCATTCCACAATTTTTGTGTTATTTCGACAAATCATGTATCAAAACGTTCAGCTCGTTCAGGAGAAGGGTGTTAGGACTTTTGCTATTCGTGTAACTTTAACTTTTTAAAATATTTAGCCTTTTCTGCCACTTTTTTCCTCATAGGAAATGATTAGAGCTCGTTTAACATTCTTCACATCTTTAGATCTGTTTACAACCTTTTACTGCTCATTTCAACAATTTGTTCTGGTTCAGCTTCTTTCAGCTTCCTTGTGCAAATTTAAACTTTTGTTTTCCAGTTAATTTCAGCTGTTTTCAGTTGTTATGTGCTCCTTTTATACTCTTACTGCTAACTACAACATTTTTATGCTTATTCTAACTTCTTTCTGCTAATTTCAGTTTGTTATGCTCCTTTCAGCTTATTTATGCAATTTTCAGCCTTTTCTGCTATTTCACCTACTATTGCTAATTTGAGCTTTTTCAACTAATTCCACATTTTTTTGCACTCATTTAAACTTTTTTCAGCCTAATTCAGCAAA